ATATTTATTTACAGTTTTAAATCAAAGCTATTAAAATATTTTCTAATTAAAGGTATTCTATTTCCCCCCTGTGGCATTTTAGTATTGTTACCGAGATATATGGCTTTAAATCATCAACTGTGCGTTAATAGTTCAAGAGGCTTCTTTTATGAAGCTTTCCTATTTAAGAGCTTGTTGTCAGGTGAATTTAGTACTCTCTGAGGAATCAGTATATGTGTTAGTTACCTTTATCCCTATGGCACTGAATTCTTCAATGCAAGGAACACTCATGCTTTACTCCCTTGAATAGAGTTAAAAACAGAAGTAGCCTGAGTGAATTGCAAAGGAGAGTTAGGTTATCACATCCACACCACTAACAGCTTGACTTTTTGCCTGTTTATGTTCACAAAGAACATTATTTCACCAAATGGATTGCTGCTAAATACAAATATGTGGTAAATAAGACAGCCTGGTTGGAGTCCTCAGGAGGTCTAAGTAGATGAAATCATTAAGGGGTTGCTTGTTCTTGGATCCATTTAAAAAAATAATAATGGGCTTTATATTTTAGGGCAGTTTTGAGCTTAAAGAAGTTGAGAGGAATTACAGAGTTCCTTATACCCCCTAATCCTCCCCAACACATGCAATTTGCCCATTATTAACACATTGCATTAGTGAAGTACATTTGTTACAATTAGTGAATGAGCCAATATTGATGCATTATTATTAACTAAAGTCCATAGTTTACATTAGAGTCATTCTTTCCCTTGTGTATTCCATGGGCTTGGACGAATGCATAATGACATGCCCACCATTACAGTATTGTACGGGATAGTTTCTCTGCTCTAAAATCCCCTGTGCAGCACCTCTCCATCTTTTCTTCCCACTCTCCCCGACCAAATGCCTGGCAACCACTGATCTTTTCACTACATCCATTGTTTTCTCTTTTCCAGAGTGTCATATAGTTGGAATTATACAGTATGTAGTCTTTCTAGATTAGCTTCTTTCACTTAGCAATATGCATTTAAGGATTTTCCATATCTTTTTTGTGGCTTGATAGCTTATTTCATCTTATCACTGAATAATATTCCTTTGTATAGATGTATAGTTTATCCATTCACCTAGGAAGGACATCTTGGTTTCTTCTAAGCTTTAGCAACTATGAATAAAGTTCCTATAGCAACCGTGTGCATGTTTCTGTGTAAGCATAAGTTTTCATTTGTGTATATACCAAGGAGCACAACTATTGGATCTTATGGTAAGAGTATGTTTAGTTTTGTAAAAAACTGCCAGCTTCCAACGTTGGCCGTACCATTTTGCAGCCCCAGTAACAATGAAGGAAAGTCCCCAGACCTCTTTATCCTCATCAGCATTCGGTGTTGTCAGTGTTCTGGATTTTAGTTATTATACTAGGTATGCAGTGGTATTTAATTTCAACTCAATGTCATTTCAATTTGCATTTTCCTGATAACATATAATATGGAGCATTTTTTCTTATTTGCCATCCGTGTATGTTCCTCAGGAGGTATCTCTTCAGAACTTTTGTCTATTTTTACCTGGGTTGTTTTTCTATTGTTAAGTTTTAACCATTCTTTTTACATTTTGGACACAGTCCTTTCTCAGATATGTGTTTGCAAATATTTTCTCCCAGTCTGTGGGTTATGTTTTATTTTTCTTAATAGGGTCATATGCAGAGTGGAAGTTTTAATTTTAATGAAGTGCAACTCAACAATCCTTTCATTCACAACTCAAGTTTTTAGTATTGTATCTGAAAATTCATCACCAAACTCAAGAGTCACCTAAATGTTCTATTTTGTCTTCTAGGAGTTTTATAGTTGCACATTTTGTTTTTAGGTCTATAATCCACTTTGAGTTAATTTTCATGAGAGGCTTAAGCTCTGTGTCTAGATTTTTTTTTTTATATGGATGTCCAGTTGTTCTAACACCATTTGTTGAAAAGACTATCCTTTCTCTGTTGAATTGCCTTTGTTCCTTTGTCAAATATCAGTTGATCTTATTCATGTGGACCTATTTCTGAGCTCTCTGTTCTGTTCCATTTATCTATTTACCTATTATTTTACCAATATCACACTGTCTTGATTACTACAGCTTTATAGTAAGTCTTGAAATAAGACTTACTATATAAATAAGACGTATTATATTTCCTCCAACTTTGTTTTTTTATACTTCAATATTGTGTTGGCTATTTTGAGTCTTTTGGCCTCTTCATATAAACTTTAAAATCAGTTTGTTGCTATCTACAAAATTCTGTACTGGAGTTTTGATTGGAATTACATTGTACATATACATCAAATTGGGAAGAATGGACACCTTCAAAATACTTATTCTTCCTGTCCATGAACATGGGGAATATCTATTTATTTAGATTTTTGATTTCTTTCATCAAAGTTTATATTTTACTTCATGTAGACCTTGTAATTATTTGTTAGATTTATACTTAAGTATTTCTCTTTCTCTCTCCCTGGTATTAATGTAAACATTATTGTGTTTTAAATTCCAAGTTCCAATTTTTCATTGCTGGCATGTAATAAAGCAAATGCGTTTGTGTATTAACCTTGTATCTGACAACACTACCATAACTTCATTAATTCCAAGAGTTTTCTTCATGTTGTATCATTGAGATTTTCTATATAGACAATCATGTCATCCGCAAAGAAACACAATTTTGTATCTTCCTTCCCAGTCTGTCTTCTGTTTTCCTTACTTGTCTTACTGTATTAGCTGGGACTTCTAGGATGATGTTGAATATCAGTGGGGAGAACAGACAACCTCACCTTATTCCTGATCTTACCAGGAAAGTACCTAGTTTCTCACAATTATGAATGATGTTAGCTGTAGGTTTTCTGTAGATATCTTTTTTTCAGCTTTTTTGAAGCATAATTGACAAATACAATTGAAATGTATTTAAAGTATACAACATGATGATTTGATATTTGTAAACACTGTGAAAGGATTCTCACAACTGAGTTAATCTCATCCAAGTATGAGAATGCTTAAGATCTACTCTTGTAGCAAATTTCAAATATATAATACAGTATTATCAACTAGAGTCACCATAAAAATATGGAATATATCACAAATTCATGTGTCATCCTTGTGTAGGGGCCATGCTAATCTTCTCTGTATCATTTCAATATTAGTATGTGCTGCAGAAGCAAGATATTCTTTATCAAGTTAGGGATGTTCACCTCAATTCTTAGTTTACTGAGGTATTTTATCACAAACGGATGTTGGATTTTGTCAAATGCTTTTTCTGCATCTATTGACATGATCATTTAATTTTTTGCTTTACTCTGTTGATGTGATGGATTACACTAACTGAATTTCAAATATAAAACCAGTCTGACATACTTGAATAATTTCCACTTGGTTGTGCTGCATATATATGTTTCCATTAAATTAGATTTGCTAATATTCTGTGGAGAACTTTTGCATCTATGTTGATGAGAGATACCGATTTGTAGTTTTCCTTTCTTGTAATCTTTGTTTTTGATTTGAAATCCTGGTCTGATTTAGAACAAGGCAGGAAATGTTCCCTTTGTT